AAATGAAATGGAGATAAACAATCTATCAGATGCAGAGTTCAGAACTCTGGTTATAAGGATGCTTAAGGAATTTAGTAAGGACCTCAACAGCATAAAAAAGATCCAGTCAGAAATGAAGGATACACTAATGGAAATAAAGAACAATTTACAGGGAAACAACAGTGGAGTGAATGAAACCAAGAATCAAACCAATTATATGGAACAGAAGGAAGCAAAACAAACAAACAAAAACAATCAGAACGAGAAGAAAAAAGAATTTTAAAAAATGAGGACAGTATAAGCAGCCTGTGAGACAACTTCAAGAGGTCCAACATTCACATCATAGGGGTGCCAGAAGAAGAAAAAGAGCAAGAAATTGGAAACATGTTTGAAAAAATAGTGAAAGAAAACTTTCCTAATTTAGTGAAGGAAATAGACATGCAAGTCCAGGAACCACAGAGAGTCCTAACAAGGTGGTTACAAAGTGGTCCACTCCAAGACAGCATAATTAAAATGCCAGAGGTTAAAGATAAAGAATCTTAAAAGCAGCAAGAGAAAATAAGTTAGTTACCCACATGGGAGTTCCCATAAGACTGTCAGCTGATTTCTCAAAACAAACTTGCAGGCAAGAAGGGGTTGGAAAGAAATATTCAAAGTCATGAAAAGCAGGGTCCTACAACCAAGATTGCTCTACCCAGAAATGATATCATTTAGAATCGAAGGGCATATAAAGAGCTTCCCTGACAAGAAAAAAAGTAAAGGAGTTTATCATCACCAAACCATTATTATATGAAATGTTAAAGGGACATAAGAAAAAGATCAAAACCATGAACAATAAAATAGCAAAAAATACAAATCTATCAACAATTGAATCTAAAAATCAAACTGAGCAAACAAGAACAGAGACAGAATCATGAATAGAAAGAGCATTTTGATGGTTGCCAGATGGGAGAGGAATGTGGGGAAATGGGTGAAGAGGTGAGGGGATTAAGAAGTACAAATGGGTAGTTACAGAATAGCCATAGGGATGTAAAGTACAGTAAAGGAAATGGAGTAGCCAAAGAACTTATACACATGACCCATGGACATGAACAATGGTAGGGGAACTGTCTGAGTGAGCAGGGGAGTGCTGGATGGACAGGTGGCAAAGGAGGGAAAATTCAGGACAACTGTAATAGCATAATCAATAAAATATAATTAAATAAATAAAATGAAAAATTAAAACATAAAAAAATAGGGTAAGGTCCATGAGATGAAAGTTTTTGTCTGTTTTAGTCTGTTTGGTTCATAGCTCTATCCAGGCACCTAGAGATGCGCCTGGTATTAAGGTAGGTGCTTAGTAAATATGGGTATTTCTAATCTCATCACACAGGTTTATAAATGAGGAGTACCTGTAAATAAAATTATTTGGGGGGGAGAAAAAACTCAATAATTACAACCAAATGAGTATTGTCTACTTAAGTCATCGCCTTGGGTAAAGGGATCTTGTACACCTTATTTCTATTAAACTAACTCTGAAACTACACTTCCAGGATTATTTTAGAAACTGCATAAAAAACTTTTTCTTTACCTTTATGTAATTTTGGGCCTGAAAATATCAGTTAGCTTAACACAACTTACCCTTCTCATTCAGTAGAAAATGAATTGTGGGGAAGAAATGGGACAGCATTGAAGGTCTGTAAAAAATAGGAACTTCAGGCCCTGGCCAGGTAGCTCAGTTGGTTCGAGTGTCATCCCTATATCCCAAGGTTGCAGGTTCAATCTCCAGTTAGGGCACAAACAAGAATCAACCAAATAAATGCGTAAATAAGTAGAACACTATTTCACTTTCTCCATTCCTGTAAAAACCTTTTCCTTTCTTTTTCTCTTCCTTCCTTTCTTTCTAATATGCTGATTTATTATATGTTAATTTCTGTAATTGAAACAAACAATGTTGACCTGTCTGGTTCCAGCATCAATTCATTGGGTAAATATAAAATTTCAGGAATACAGTCTTATCAGAGACCCAGAAATGAGAGATAAATCTAGTAACGGAGTTTATAATGTAGAATTAGAGGGTTCTCATTAATTTTGGGAACAATAGTGATTATTAATTAGAAAGTCCTAGTATACAGTTCTAAGTTACCAAGTAGATGGTATTGAAAAAGACACAAAATAATAAAATTCCTGATAAACAAATGTTGTTTTAATCACCTATAAAAACATTAATATTTTAGTATGTAATTCTCTCCACTTTTGTCTATGCTATGTACATGTTTTTATAAAATATGGGATACTGCTCTGACTGGTGTGGCTCAGTTGGTTGGGTGACGTCCCACAAAGCCAAGGATGGCCAGTTTGATTCCCAGTCGGGGACATGCCTGGGTTGCAGGTTCGGTCCCCTTTCAGGGTGTGTGTGAGGCAGATTTATGTTTCTCCCCCTCTTTCTCCCACCCTTCTCCCTCTTTCTCCCACCCTTTCCCTCTCTTAGGCAGGATGGTTCTCAGCCATTGTGGGTGATTCCAAGGGACTTGATTGAGAGTGGTCTGTCACCATCAGGCCAACATCTGGGAAATGAGTGCCTTGGTCCCAGTGGGGAAACTGCAACACATATCACAGCATCCACTACACCTTGTCCTATTACTTTTCCATTAAAAATTCTTTTTAAAAAACCTAATGAATAAAATAACAAGCAGACGAGAGCAAGAGGCGTGGAAACATGGGACATACTAACAACAGCCAGAGAGGAGGGGGGAGGGGAATAATGGTGGAAAGAAGGGAAAGGGACCAGTCAAAAGAGCATGTGTGAATGACCCACGGACATGGACCACAGTGTGGGGACTGACTGTGTGAGCAGGGGGTGGGATGGGTGGAGGAAGGCAAAGGGGGCAAAGTTGAGACAACTGTGATAAATTTTTTTTTAAATCTATTGATGGGATTCTGGTTTCTAAAAATTTCTGATCACCCAGACTCTTTGGACCTCAGGGTTTCCTCTGCTCCTTTCTTGAAGGAAAACAAGTTATTTTATGAGGAAATGTATCTTCTCTGCAATGTGTCCACTTCTGTGAACAAAGAAAGCCAAGCAGAACATTTATGAAAACACAGTGAACTTGACAATGGAAATAGAAGGTATTCCTGGAAGCTCTCAGAATTTTTGAGACAGTCCCATCTCCTTTCATATGGAAGTTAGTTGGCCATTTAGAGTTAAGAAAACCATACAGGTAAGACAGAGAAACTGTGACAGCTGGTGTGGAAGTTGCGTGTTGTTGCAAAAAGCTGAGAACTCCCAACCCTGTCACTTCCTAGTTGTGTATTCAGAGCAAATTACTCAAGCTTTGTCTGGACTTCAGATTCTCCACTAATAAGCCAGCAACATGATTCTTGCCCCAGGTTTTGTAGCTGTGTCTAAAGGTGTGTTAAAACCTCATACCCTCTGAACACATAATCAACCTTTAAACTCATTATCCTGAGGCCTGTTCAAAGACTCCTTAAAAATGGCTCCCATATCTGCCATTGTGTACGAATGGATTAAATGTTGTGATCAGTAAACAGTGATCTAAATTTATAAGAACTTGATGTCCATTAACAAAACTTGCAATACTAAATATGTGTATGTATTCTAAAAGGGTCTTTAGATATTCTTCCTATTTCTCATTTAATTTTGCCGTTATTTTATTTCCTGATGACTATTAAACTATGAATATATTTTATCATACAAATATTTAGCTACATATATTCCATTATTTATTATCAATTTTGCTGCTGAACATTCAAAAACTTTTTCCTCGGAAATCAAGATTCCTTTTTATTCACTATTAAGTAGTTAGATGAAAAAAGACAAATTTAAGAAATGAGAGGACTTTTAGAAAATGTTTGACATTAATAAATCAACATTGATTTACTGTTTCTAATAGGTTGGGAAACATTTCCTAGATAGTTCCTTTGTAGCAATGTCCAGCACAATACCTCACATATAAAAGAAACCTGAAAACTATTTACTGAATTTATGAATGACAACTATTTAATAAAAAGAAAATCTCTGATACTAACCATTTAAAAATAAGACACTAAATTACTTTGCAGTTTAATGCCAATCATTCCACATTTAAATGTCATTGAAAATAGTGTACCTGAATTCAACAAAATTATTGGAATGCTACAATCATTTGCTACATGTCCTCACTCTTACTTATCATTCATCTTCTCCTCTATCCACCAATTTGCTCCTTATAAAAAATGGGACTTAACTTTAAAAAAAATCAATAAATCCTTTTGAAAATTGATGAAAACTGGACCCTTTCCCTCCACAAAACACACATCAACATGGAAGTTTACACAGACTCTAGGGGTGCTTACTTTTCCTGAAGCACATTCATGACCCTTGCAAATATCGACCCCCAGTTAAGAAGTGACATTTTATACCATACCTGTGCATATAAGTATATCCATATTTGATGACTGAGACAAGTCTGTGCACACTGTATTATTCAGTTAAATTAGCTTACTGGTAAGCTTGTTGGAGAGAGAACTTTTGTGAACACGTATTTTAGACTACCGGTACCTCATTTGGCTTCCCATGGTATTAGTTTACTTTCTAATTAATTACCCACACACTGGAAAGTCAAATCTGATTATGACTAACTCACTTCAGTCTTAGAAGGTAAGAAGGAAGCAAGAGAAAGGTAAGCAAAAAAAAAAAAGACAGCTAGAAATAGGTGGTAATAGGAAGCAGGTGCTCAAAAGAGGGATGCCCATGTATCAAATGAAAGTAGCTGAAGATATACTTAATCTACTTTATGATTTTTGTTAGATTCCAATAACCCTAATAATTTTAACTAATTGGGAATATAAATATGAGTAAGTGAAAAAAATTTTTTGTTCCCTACAAAATCAAGAAGCAATGGGATCTCTATGCAATGGACTAGCTCCATCCTCTAGGAGCTAGCGATGAAACAGGTGTAGATAAGCAACTCAAGAGATATACAAAAGACGGGGAAAAGTGTCTCCAATACAACGAATGAACTTCCAAAGCATCCAACATCTTGAGAGTAGCTGAATTTTTATTTCTAGAGACAAATCACTCAAACTGCAACTTGCAGATAAAACTTTTTGGAATCATTTCGAAGTGTGTTTTTACATGAAGGAATGTAGGCTTCACTCTTCCATCTCACAGAAACAAATCTTGAAAATATTCATCAAATTCTTCTTCCCTATTTACAAAAAAGTATACACATTAATTAAAATAAGCAATTAGAGAAAAAAACATTACTAGGTGATACATGAGATCAATAGAAATATTTTAATTCAATATTTGCTTATTTTTCTACCTATCGATATATTTCATGATTCATCTATTAAATAATTCTCAGCTTCTACATAACCAAAACTATACCCAGAAATGAAGATCTTTTATATGTTGGTACCGCTCCCTAAATGTATTTACTACCTAAGATTTTACTTTGAAGTACTTCGTAAAATGTTATTTCTTCACTTTTTTGGTTCACTTTATAACTTCTCTGTTCATTCTCATATTAAATTATAGTCTGATCAAGAAATGAGTAAAAAAGAAACTTTTTAAAGGAAATATACAAGTGTTACTCCTAGCCAATAGGGAAAATATGCTTAGGCTTCGAGTTTTTCTTACTAGAAGAGTAAAACAGTAAATGTACCAGCAGATTAAAACAAAGAACAAAACTCTGAAAAGAGATATCAAATAGTACATTACTGTGTTAAAAATACTATGAAAATTATAAAGTACTAATAAGAATTTAACGCTGGGAGCCACAGCGGTGCTGTGGAAACGGCAGGTTTTCAAGTCCAACAGTGTTTAAGTCCCAACTCTGTCACCTCTTAGAAGGTGAGCAAGTTACTTAAATTCTCTGGGCTGTTTTCCTTTTCTGTAAAATGGAGAACACTGTATTTCCTCATAGAGTTGCTATAAGGATTAAATGTATGCAAAGTTGTTTTTCCTCCTTCTGGGAATGGGGAAATCAAACTGAATAGTCAAATTCAGTGTACCAGTCTTTAGAAAATGCTTTTTAAATTGGAGATTCACAACTGGACTCTATCATTTTGGTTTTAAGTAACTGTAACTGCATCAAGCCATTACAACTATGTCAAAATTGAAAAAAAAATTTATAAAATCAGATAAATTTGATTTAAAAATTATCTGGAACTTGGTATTCCCTGTGCTACTGTCCCTTTCCCCTAGCATGACGGAAAAATGCAGTAGAATTCTAAAAATAGTAAGAACTTAAGTAAAATTAGCTGCATCTCTGTGTGAACTCCGATGTTTAGTACTTAATCAGTGTCAAATTTTTACAGTCACAGAGTTTGGGATTACAAAGCCTTCTTAAGATTTACTTATGTATCTTTATTGCTAAAAAGGTAAGTTGACTGTAAGACCTATTCCATCATTTTCAGCTGTAAAGCTATTCAAGGGGAAGTTATATGGTTGAAAGTTTAGTCAATGTTTAACTAAGAGAGCAATATTTTATTTATACCAGTAACTTTTTAATGTGATGCATAATGACCACACATGTGAGAATTCTTTGGCTAAAACAAATAAAACAAAAGGTCAAAGGCTACAGTAAAAATAATCTTGTTAAAAAAACCTCTTTACAGCATACCTGAGAACACACATTTAGCATAATCAGCAAGATATTTTATAATCAGCTTAACTCACTGAATTATGAGTAATTCAACAGGTCTCTTTCTATTATGAACCACATATGCTTAGAGACAAACAAAATGAGACTAAACTTTATTGAGAAGTTACCATATTTGTAGGTATTATACCATGTGCCTTACGTTTTTTATTTCATTAAACTTTAATAATAAACTCTATACAATAGGTATTATTTTATCCTCTTTTAACAGATAAAGTTCAAGTGGTGAACACCCCAGGTTATGACAAAAACTGGTAACATCCCAGCCCATATCCAGACAGCTCTTCCATCCAGATCAGAAAAAAACGCAGGCATTGAGTTATCTGTCTGTGTGGGCAAAGGGGTGTTGGCAAGTAAACCTGTACACCTGTATATGTCTTCGAGTAGCTCCCTCCCCTGTACAGATTTATGACAATCAGAACATCATGCATGAACTGCTCTGGAAGCTAGTAAACAACCATTCTCTGAAGGAATCTGAGCAAAAACCAAGTCATCCATTAGAGGTGAGGAAAGATTTACTCACCAAGATGAAGCTGAACAAGTTGGTTCTTCATAGCCACAAACAATGGCTGGGAATAATCTCTGATCTTACCAGGGTAGGTGGTCCTTGGCATTAAACAGACTTTCGTGATGATAAGTTTTTTCATTAACTGTTGTCAAGAGTGGCTGTGGTCATAGCTTCCTTAACTGATAAAAAGGGTATGTATTACCTATTTACGTAAGAACTTACTGTGATTTTTCATCGGTCTCTGGTAGGGGACCCTTCCAAAGTTCAGATTCTGAAGTACTTTCTTCCTCATCAGAGCTTCCTGTTCATGTAAAAGAGATTTTTTAAAAGACGGGAGTATTATAATTAAAACACATTTTGAACTACCCACCAATGCAATTAAATTAACTTCAGATTTAATTGCAGTTTAGCTTCAACTTTTATGGCTCTCTGGAAATTTAATTCACTCTTCCAGACCAATAAATTCTTTCTAAAAATAAATAAATAAGCTGAGGTATACCAAAGTGTCTCAGTAAAACGACCAAGGAGTTAAAAGCTCATGGAAAAACTTAAGTTACACAAAGTAGCGATTCCAATATTAACTCTAATAAAGGAATTATCTCTTGTAATAAACATGGTTGCCTTTGATGTAGTTTCTTATTTTTATTGGTCATACAATAGACATGCAAGTTAAGATTTTTGTAGAGAGTATACATTTACTTTAGGCTCAAGACCTCAAAAACTTAACTAGTTATGTAGGACTAAGCTAGTTAAATTATGAAAGAAAAGTCAGATATTTTAAAAATTAATGTTGATTATATTAATTAGAAGAGGCCTGTTACAGTGAACAAACAGAAATTCTCATACATTGTTAGGAGTAAAATTTCTATAAACTTTTTCTTGAGGAAAATCTAGTAATACAGATTAGTTTAGAATGTACATACCCTTTGACCAGCAATGCTGGGTTTTGGAATTTAATTATTTAGTTAAAATAAGCACCTCAGATATACATACAAAGATGTTCACTGTATGATGATAACAACAGAAGTAAACAACCTAAATCCCTATTAATTAGGGATTAAGGATTGGTTGAATAAATACTATGCAGCTATCGAGAGACCTTAGCATATCCGTACGTATCACCATGGAAAAATGTCTGTGATATGTTAAATTTTTTAAGTTACAGAAAGCACGACGTACGGTTAAACATTATGCAAATATCTACATATAGATATATAGAGAATTATATTTGTGTTGTGCATATATGTATTATAAGTTTATAAGGACCACACAGACTATAACAGTGACTATATTACCTGTGGGCCTGGGATACTTTCACTTTCTACTTTAAGCATTTTCAATTTTTTTGTATTTTAAACAATCATACACTACCTTTGAAGTAACTAAAAATAAGATACACCTATTTTTGAATTATGACAAAACATATGTTTCAAATCAACCACCTTATATTAGTCAACTAAAAATTATCAAGCAGTAAAAAATTATTATGAGGCAATAAAATTATATGCCACAATGTAATCACAGTAGTAAATAATCCCTCTCCAATAATGACCATTAGTCTAAAAAAGAACTGACACACACTTGGCCTAGCAGCACAGAACGTCAAACAGCATGTCCCTTAGTCAAATACAGCACAAAAATAAAACAGCACTGATTCGCCATGGTGGTTTTAGCCCTTCACCTGCTGGACTTTGCTCCTTCAATCAATATGTGTATCTGAACTTTGGTCCTAACTGAATCTGTTCTGGCCCAAATTCTAACAAAAATGGATCAAAAAGAGAGGGATGTATTTCTAATGATCTACAAACAAGGATAATAAAATTATAAAGCCTTTGGAAAAAGACTCCTACTCAATGACAGCCAGTGTCCCAAACTGAATTATGCAATAAGAATTAAGAGTCTTCCACTTTCATTTTTGTGGGAAAAAAAAGCACAGAAAAACTACGTAGGCTTAATAAAGTTATCACTATGGTGTAACCCTATTAACGATATAAGAGAACAAATTTACAATGCCTCTGAAAGTGGACAGCGAATTGCAAAAGGCCTTACAACCACCTGCTCTTATAGTCCTGCTCAAAAGTACTTCCCAGACACCAGCTTTCCTACACCAGTTCTCTGATGCCAGACAACCAAGTTTTCCTTAAAAAATCAAATCAGTTTAGACAACTGTCTCTGAAAGAGCACCTGCTAAAAAACTGGTGAAATATCTTTTGAGAAGTAAGTCTACAATATCGGACTACCTGACCTTTAAGGTCCCTTACAACTAACTCCATGAATCTAGCGTCTCCTATTTCCCTGAGGGTGACAATAACTACAAATCATTCCTCTGATAACTGCTATAACCTGCCAGAGGTGGGAGGGGTGTTGCTAAAGAAATAAAAATTAGTATGGTGGACAATACAAAATGACCCTCTTGCATCAGCGTCAAACCTATGCAAATCTGTTGGCAAGTAGGGATCAAAATTTAAGTCTTTGACTCTGTGTTGGAAGGGAATCATAGAGGTCTTTAATCCAACCCTTATCCAATGAACGAATCTTTTATTGTAACATCCCTGATAACAAGTGGCCATCCAATCTACACTTAAACATCTATTCACTACTTCCTGAAGCAGCACATTCCCCCATTCTTTTCTTCAGCTAGTTATGACAAGTTTTTCCTTAAATTAAGGCAAAACTCTGTCCTCAGCAATTTCTATCCACAGACTCTAGTTCTGCCAATCAGTCACCTATGTGGGCCCAAGGCAGGCAGCCCCAAGATATCTCACAACGGCACACTGATTATTTTCAGTTAAAATTACTTAGGAAACTGCCAGTGAAAAAACACTCCGACCTTTCTATTTCTAAAAGCAGGGACTAAATCTTCCAGGTGAAAGGTACCCTCCCTCCCTGCATCTGGGGGGCCCAGAATTCCTTTATTAGAATTAAAGGACCCAGAGCCAAAGAATGTGTGTAAACAAACCTTGTTGCCTCTTTTCTCATTCACTACCTAAGCCCACATTTTGTTTAGATGTCTCATTAACGTGTACCCAAACCTTGCTCACATTCCTTTCTAATGAGCACTTTTTCCCCTTCTGTCAATTTCTTCACTGATTTATTGTTTCTTTGTCTAAGAACTATAAAAGATACCTGGTTCGATCATTTCTTTGAGCCTCACTTTATGATTTGAACATCACATTATGACCTCTCATGTGCATATGTTTTTCTCCTGTTAATCTAATCTTATGTCGATTTTATTATTAGGCCAGCCATTCAGAATTTAAGAAGAGTGCAGAGGGTGGGGGTAAATCCCCCTGTCCCCCACACACCAAAAATAAGTCTCCCACATAGCAGTGGGTTTGCAAATATCTGGTTTCCATGTCTCCCTCCTGACCTTTCCCCCCATTCCCGCATCTTTCTCCAAGCTAAACATCCACAGTTCCTTCAACCTGCTTCCCACGACACAGCTTCAAGTTGTGTCAATACTGTGGGTTCTTTACCTGACTGCTTTAAGTTTTCAATTCCCTTTAGAAAGTGATGCAAACCACACACAATTTTCCTCATATTTTGAATAATAAAAGCAGGTCTATCATTTTGATTTTCCTGGTTATTATATATCTGAATATCTTGGCCTATTGAAGAAGTGGCAAATCTCCAATTATGACAACAAATAAACAGATCAGACTTTTATAGACTTAATTTTTGGTCTGACCAATTTAAGAGAGCAAATACAGAATCTGTTTAATATTTGGTATTTTTCTTTTATATTATAACAATTATAGCTACAGGTTATCAGAGACCTATTTTGTATCAGACACACACTTTACTCAAATGTTATCTCATTAGACTGATAATAATCCAACGAAGTCTCTTTACACCCATTTTACAGATAGACCTGAGACACAGATAGAGCATATCACTTAAATGTGGATTTGAATAATGTATCTGCCAAAATGTACCGAATAGACTTACATTTGACTCACTGATGAACTGTTACTAATCATATAGGTAAGAGGTCATAGACTTACCAACCTGTGTTTAATCCTAGTTCTGCCATTAATCAACTACTTGATCATAGGCAATTTATATACATGCATACCTCGTTTTATTGTGATTTTCTTTATTGTGCTTCACAGATGTTGGGCTTTGTTGTTTGGGTTTTTTTTTTTTTTAATAAACTGAGGGCAAGACCCTCCACAAACAAAAAGATTATGACTCATTTTATAGTAACATTGGCTTTACTGTGGTGGTAGGGAACCGAACCTGCAATATCTCTGAGGTATGCCTGTAAATCTCTGGGTCTCAATTTTCTAGTCTGCAAAATGGGATATTAAATGCCCATTATTAATATTAAACGAGATAACACAACTAAACCATTTGCCATTGTGGCTGACAAAGAACACTCAACAAATGCAAGTTATAATTCTTTTCCCCCACAGAAATTGGGTTTTTATTCATATATTTGGTTTTAATAATCCCCATGTCCAATGGGGGTAAAAGCGTAACTGAAGAGTACCCACATGTAAATGAAAAATAAGATTAGCGAAATTTGAGTTCTGAAATCACTGCCAAGGCCATCTAAGACAGACTGCTGACACCTGAGAGGACATCTGGGTTTGGCATACTGTACATAACAAGGCACATGTCTCCTACTCAGTATGGTAAGTGGCTTTTTGACTGTCAAGTGGGTAGCAGGTCACCTTGAGGTAGATAATGTGTTTCTTCAAGAAACAAACTACACTAGAGGTTCTTCACACTGGGTACAGTATTCTCTCCACTAACAGAAGTCTGACCTAGCGAGAGGTGAAGAGACTTAAGGCTACTTCTGGAAGATGGGGAAGATTACAGGGGCTAAAGGGAGGACTGTGGGAGAAGAAAGAGTACACAAAAGAATGAAAATAAATGAGTAAGTCAATAACTTTTAATAGTGAAAACGAATTGGAACAGGCAATGTTTTTTTCTACATTAAATAGGCCTTCATACCTCTCATTGCAATGTACTGCTGGAAATGGATAAAAACTAAAATAAAATTTCTCATTTTATCCTGTGTATGTTTTTTAAAATATATACATATTTACTACTTCACCCTCAGACAACATAAGTCTATCAGTTTCATGCCTGGCTATGTCCTAGAAACTGTCACTACACCTCACCCAGTTTAGATGAAGAAACTGCTGATAGATTAGGATTCACATGGGGAGAAAAAATCAGTTCTTTAAACACTTCAAATACGCTGAAAACAGAAATGGTGTGAACAAAATAATTTCTAAGGAATATGTGTATTCCTAAACTAGAGAAATGCCTCCACTGATAATACCCTTCTTCATTACATTTTTAAACACTAAATCTTTTTTTTGAAGATTTTATTTATTTATTTTTAGAGAGAGGGGAAGGGAGGGAGAAAGAGAGGGAAAGAAACATCAATGTGTGGTTGTGTCTCGTGTGCCCCCAACCGGACCTGGCCCACAACCCAGGCATGTGACCTGGCTAGGAATCCTTTGGTTCACAGGTTGGTACTCGATTCACTGAGCCAAACCACCCAGGGCAGTAAATACTAAATCTTTTAAATAAATTTCTATTTTACTATTTTTCTCAGTGCAAAATTTTGATTACTAAACACTTAAAAATTCTCCTTAAGAATTATAATAAAACGTTAATAATGTTTATATTTGAATGGTGGGATTTGAAGTATTTACTAATTCTTTTCCTGAGTCTGACACAGTAAACACATTATTACTCTAAAATCAGAAAAAAAATTAATTCCTAACTTTATAAATGTCCAAGTAAGCCTAGATGTCTTAAATATCTGAATTTCTATAAAATAAGTCCAGATATTATAAAATGAATTAAATATGCTATTGATTAATACTTTATTGTTAGGCCCTAAGGCTACGGCAAAGCGTTTAAGAAACTGATCACTGTGTTGCTGCTGAGGTGCAAGGGTACTGTTTGTTAGGCCACAAATGGATGCCCCCCTTTACAAACCAACAGGAGGTTCCACTCTCAAAACTCAACCTAGTAAAAGCTAAACATCCTTTATGTTCTCTTTATCATCATATGGGTATAATTAATCTTTGTACTGGTGGTTTTCTACTTTGGTTTGGTTGTTAGGAAAAACAGTGACAAATTTGTGTTCTACCTTTGCAATCATGCAGGACTTTTTGGTAAACATTTTTCTGTATTAATTTCACCTCTAGCTTTATTTTGCTATTCTATATTATTTTTCCATTTTTTGATGTCTTTAAAACTTTTTATTGTATATATTTTTGTAAGTCATTGTGAATACTTTGTGGAAAGCTACAGGGAAAAAATATAATAAAATTTGTAGCAAATATTCTATCAAATCTAACCTGGTTTGATCCAATCTTGTGAAAACCTTATAATTAAAAAACTAACCAGTAGCAACGAGTTGCAAACATTTGCTTTTCATGCACGAATCACACACTTCACTTGATCAAAATCACCAAACGACAGACATAACTCAGTCCTGTGCAATATAAGCAACATTTCTTAAATCTTAAAACCCACCTCCCCAAATCTTTTTCCAATGCAACCCCATCTCTCCATTTCTCTTCCTTCATACCCCATAATGTCAAGTTGAAATGTGTATACACTGCATTCCTGGAGAAAATCTTATGCTCTTCTATATGTAAAATATGAAACTTTTAAATGTTCTCAATTGGGTAAGAAATCATACATAACTGGTCTTTTTCTGTGATTTTCTCACATAGTACAAAAATAAAAAATAATTTACATCACAGCAGGTCATAATTCATTGGAAACACAATTGCAAATAACTTGAATCTACATCTTTTTATTAAATGAAGAGATACTTGATACTTACTGTTTACAGAATCTTCTGATTTCTTTGAGGATGAATGTCCTGAAAAGGAAATGGCATTGTTTTGTTAAGAGCCATCCTGTAGTGGTGAAACAGTTGTAGCTGTAACCAGAATTCTTCCCAACAGTCTAGTTTAATTTATAGTCTTACAGAAAAGCACTTCATGGTTTTCCAATCTTTCATGTTCCTTAGACTTATCTCTCTAATTAAAATGTCAGATTTTTTCGAGGAATTTTTATGCCCTCATATGAAATAGAATACCTAGCACAAAGCTTAAAAAACAGTGAACCAATGGAACCAATACTTTATCTATATAGATGTTTAACATCTGTAACATCTGAAAGCCATGTACAAATAAATACTCATTTTTCACAATATTTTTTCAAGGATTATATATAGGTGAGAATTAGTTCTCAGTAACTGAAAATCACATATATAATTATGTCATAAAACTAAAACATTCGATTCTACAATAGTTGTCAAATGATTTCTTCCAAAGGAAAAGTGCAGGTGCTTCTGAAACGTCTAACAGGAGTCCAAGCTTGCCTGGTTCAGTTGATCGAAGGGTATCAGGAAAGGCCTTGCCAAGGAACAGCTTGTGGATGGGGTGCTGGTGGGAGGGTTAAGACCCTGGAGTTTCTGTCAAGACATTTTACCTAAGTACCTAGTTCATACCTACCAAAGCAGACTGGTCCTCAAGGTCAAGCTACTGATCTGTCTTTCTTAAACTTCCTCTCCATTCATTCAGCCATCTAGATGTTCAATTATCTATCCCTCCATCCACTGATAACCCAGAGCTATGAGAATAGATAGGATCACACAGGAAGTGGGGAGTGGAAGGGAAAGAAGGGAAATTACATAACAGTCGGAGCAACTCCAACATCTAAGGATAAGTAAGACTGAGGAGGAATTCTAGTCAAAAAAGGTGAGGAGAAGCCAGAAAGATAGAAGAAAATCAAGCAAGCACATGGTTTTGAGAAGGAGTGTCTACAGTCCAAATACAGCTATTAAGCATTTATTAATTACAATTCAAGTTTGGGCCAAATTAAGGTGGTCTGGCAAGACAGTGGCACATCAAGATCAATCTAGCTCCAGATAAGAAGATATTAAAGAGTTTCACATGGTTTCCCTATACGTTTGCTAAAAGGTAGTCACTTTCTACTTTATACCATATAAATTGAAAAATATCCTGTACCCTGCTATCAAAGTTGCTCTAAATAAAGAATAAATAAGATGTTTCAATTCCATTGTACTTTGGTTTTCTATCTCTGAAGTTGCCTGAAACAATCTTTAAAGTCTCTCATTTTCTCATTGTTTATTATTTACACCTAACATGTGCTAATGGGTCCTGGGGATATATCAATGAGCAGACAGTATCCCTGCCCTCCTTGGGCTTTCATGTAATTGTCATATATGTCATAAAGGAAAAGTTCCAGGGCTGTGATATAATTATCATGGGAGCCCTAATTTACTAATAGATCCATGGTCAGGGATGGAATCAGGAAAGGATCCCTGAGGAAGTGACATTTAAGCTTAGACCTGAAGGATGAGTTAGGATGGGACTGGGGTTTTAGGAAGAGAGGAAATAGTATCTGTGTAGTCCCTAATTTAAAAGAAATTTGAAATTTCCAGAAACTGAAAGGCTATTTGGGTAAAGTGTGAAAGTGAAGTAGAGAGTGATAAGAAAAAGGCCTCGTGTGCCAGATCATTCAAAGCCTTTGGGCTTCGTGCAGGATTTTGGTTATTATCCTAAGAACAACAGGATACCACTGCTCTATGGCAAACGGAGTTAGAGGAGGGAAGGTGGGAAGTCAAGACAGTAAAGGAACCAGTAGGGAGAACAGAGCAGTAGTCCAGAAGAAAAAACACAGTGGTGTGAACCAGGGTGGAGAGAACTTGAGAAATACATAACCTAGGGTAAAACTGATAGAATTTGGTGACAAGTTTAACATAAATAATGAGAAAAAAGAAAGCATCAAGGATAATGTCCAGATTTCTGATACTGCTCTCTAGGTTGACAGAGATGTCATCTACTAAAACATGGAAACTAAAGGAAGAATATTTATAAGGAAGATCACATGTATGTATAATCTGAGACATCCAGCCATCCCTCACCCCAAGTAGCCAGCTACCTAATTATCTGTTTTGAAGGTACTGAATAAATTTTAACAAGAAAGGGATTAATTAGTTCATCTTTTATTTGGACTATGCAACAATTAACATGGTATCATACTATGATATGAATGCAACAATATTATGTAATACAATAACGAATGCCAACAAAATTTTCAAATATTTTAATAGTACATCAGGGTAAATAAAAAATTTCAAAAATTCAAATGAAATTAAAATATATTTTGGAGTTAGTTAATGATTAAGAAAGAGACAAAAAAGGTATTCTCCTTCAAATACCATTTCTCAATAAACAATAGTATTTTCTTCTCACCATCTATCAATTTTACCAAGTCGAAAACTTGGCAGTACTACATGCTTAAATATAACATGCAAGAAGAAAAAATATGCACATAAGAATGTAACTTAGCTAAAGATCTTCACAGGTGGAGCAAGGGAGCCCTCTTCTGCCGAGGTAACACTGGAATCAATCTAATTCAACCTACGATTACCTACTTAATTTAAGTCTGATTCACTCTAAGTTACAGCCAATCTGACTCTATAAGGGACTGAAAAAGCAACTAGCGGTAACCTTTATAATAGCTAATTGGGGCAAGTACAAAGCAAACTGCTTGCATGTATTATCTCAACTTCTAAACAATTCCATAAGGTGATTATTGTACTATTATCATGACCATTTTACACATGAAGAAATGAAGGCTTACAAAGCCTAAGGATTACTAGGAAAGAAATAAGTGGCTGACTAATAAATTTGAATTTAATAATTACCCCGTATATGTGCACAGCACCATGCTAGGTTCTGATGACATTTATATCATTTTCTATCATTACAAGAAGCTCATAAACTAGTGAGGAAATCACAGACTGGAACAATTGAAATCACAGTGTTATAATTTTATACTGACCTATAGATTATGTACTGTTTTAGTGTTCAAAGTGCCTTTTACATTCTTGATTCTCCACAATAAGTTCAAGCAGTACAGAGGTCAAAGTGTTCACATCACCCCTACTTACATAGGGAAAGTAAAACTCAAGAAGTTCAGTAACTTGCTCAAAGTAACAAGTCTCGAAGTGACAAATCCAGCAATCAGAAGGCTGTTTGCAATATTATACCTTCTGCCAAAAATGAATCAAAACCAACCTTGTTCTTGAAACTCCTGTAAGTTACTATAAATTCATATCAGAATTCTCCAACCAGATTCCTTTCAACCACTATAAAACAGAATTCTAAACGCATTTACCAATTAAATTCTACATTTGAAACACATGGACGATTATACTTCATGTTAAAAAATGTGAGTAGATATTATATCCTAATTCCCCTTTACCTTTATCCTTTTTCTTAGAGGTCTCTTCTGCAGAAGATAATCTGGATTTTTTATGTGCTGACTCTTCACAATCTTTTATTTTATCCTTCCTTTTTTTGGACTTGACTTCTTTTCTCCTTTATGTTGAACAACATAAAATTAAAGTTAACTTTTTCAACTGACCTTTACAAAAATTAAAACCAATTAGAAAAAAAATCAAAGTGCTTATTTTTATAATGTAATTTACATAAGGAAATTGTAAATATTTTAGGTTAGTATATTATTTAAGACAATTCTGTAAGACAATAAAGCCTGAAAACTCTGAGACAAAAAAGTATCTTTTGTAAGTCCTCTATACAAACCTAAGAAAACATGTCATATTTTTACTTATTTCCTTCTTTTTATATTCTATTACTCAGCCACTTAAAAGAAAATTACAAAACAATTTCATTTCCCTCTACATAATTCATATTTGCCTACACTTTGAAAAAAACACATACAACAAAAAGAAACCACTGTGATAGTTCTATACCAGCAGTAAACAGAAAATTCTTCTCTTAAGAATAAAAGAATATATTGGGTGGGGCAAAGTAGGTTTATAGTTGTTTGTATGGAAAATAATACAATGATTAACAAATAATATTACAAGAATAAACTCTGTGTTTCACAAGTTCACAACTGTGAAACTACTTTTGCCACAACCTTTAGTAAAAGTATTGTAGAATGAAGGTGGAAGGAGTTATTGTTAACTCATACATCTACTTTGGACTATTTATCCTTTTACTGTGGTAGTTTTATTTCTTCTAGGCCAGGTTTACAAGGTCCTCAGTGCCATGGCTGGCAAGCAATTTACTTTAATTGGTTAAGAAAAGAAATACTTAACAGAAAAATATGACAGTGCTGAAGCTCAGACAAGGAAGGGAAGATGATGAGGCAACAGAGAGGGTTACTTTCAAAAAACGTATACATTTTCCAAAAATTAAGGTATTATGCCAAATATTATAATACTATTTAAGACAGTAACCATTTTTTACCTCTTAAGAATCATTTCAAGTTTGAAATGAAGCTTGAAAGTCAAGATCAAATAAACATCTTTGATCTTTCAGTATCATTGATACAGAGGGAAAATAATGGTTTAGGCTATTCAAGTAACCTAAAACTTTCTGCTAATTTTAAAAATTAAAATATTATTAATTATTTAATACCTATTTTAATGGCTAAAATATTAGGGTACATTTATAACATAGCTGATTTTAAAATTAATAGACTAATTTATATATGCTATAAAGTTACAGAATCTTACTCTTAGACTTCCAACTGCCATTCAGAACATGACACCTGATCTCCGCGATCATGACAGGGCCACACAGACTTTGTCTGAACATCTTCGTGCTAAGGACTCCACTCTGTTTGACTCACCATATGCCAGGCTCTGTGCCAAGCGCTTTATATACACTTTCATCTAATCCCCACAATAGCCTTAGCACCCTCATTTTAGAGATGATAAAACTTGAGTCTCACACAGGTGAAGCAGCTTGACCACAAAGAGGACTAGTAAGTGGAGTAGCTGAGAGGAATACACAGGGGTCTAATTTCAAAGCCCACACTCTTACATATACTGCAGATTACAGAACACTGATACCCTCCCCAACTCAGTGTGCAGACACATATTGACAAACAGCTAAATGTGTAAATGTGACATGAGAATTACATTATGAAGATCTGCATCATAATATAGCTTCTAAGAATATTACAGTATCTGAACACTGACTCCGAACCAAAAATTCTATGATCTATCTACCACCCTGCACAGGCTTTCACATTTAAAACTGCTTGGCTAGAGTAGGGCCTGGCAAACTTCCACTTCCCTCATCTATATGGTCATAAAGTGATGCCAGATATTCTAGATAATCAACTAATTAAAACATCAACCACTCACAACTACATTTAGACATCCAGTGCAGGTGAGTACATCCAAGACTATGAAACATTAACAGCAGCATTTTAAAAGACAGTATTACCTGCGATGAAAATTTAATTTAAAGGAACATTCCTGGCATAATCCTAAAAAAAAAAAGTTACACAGATGAATATGAATAACTGCACTGCTACTGTACCTTCAGTATCATAAATTATCACTTTTCCTCATATCTTTTACAAGAAACAATCTAAAGAAATCAATCCAATTCTCCCTACCTCAAAAAATGCATGTATATAATAAATATTAGAATGCTTGAAGAACTGACATCCTAACATTACTTTAGAAAAATGTGCTGTCAATTTATTCTAAAAGCAATAGGGAGCCTCATATCAAAGACATCTAATAACAACAGTATGGGTATAGTCATTTCCTCTGAAGCACTCTAGAGTTTTCAAATGGAAGAGCTTTTCAAAAACTTCCACAATTGTGGCCTCTTCTTTTGCCTTAATCTCAGTTCACACTAGCTAACTTTTCCTCATGAGCACTTCCAGGAGGAACTCAGAAACCAGTCTGTATTGTGCATTAAGCAGCATATGGGGAAATTCACGACTTCTTTCTGGAGCAGGCAGCACACTCTGAGGGCACATTTATTTAAGACCCAGAGAAGGTTGTTAACGTATTGGAGAGAAGATGCTGACATACCACAGCTTAGGGGAAAAAATGAATGAATGACAGAGTCTAAAACATGCATATTAAAGAGAAACTACTATATTCTGGGGTATAACCCTAGGCTTTTAAGACTGATATCAAGGACAATTATGCCCTCCTAAAATTTTTTTCTTTATTGACACAAAGAGAGTGTATTTATTTATTATCCCTACCACAACAGTATGGCTATCAGCTAACATGATATTTTACAGTGCCTTTTCTGATACTATGCATCTCACTTTACACTGGTGACATGCTTAAGTTAACGAGAAGAGATCTTCACTTTACAAATAGAATTACATTTGGCATTAGAACTGTTTCACTTAAATGTCACCATAATGCTGAGAATATAAAAATTTTAGGCTCAAGCATTGTTTATGACTTTGGGAAGCTCTTAGAAAAAGAGCACTTATAGGAAGATACATTAAAATTTTTTAATTGAAACTTAAATTAGTCTATATATTTTTTCATGTAGTAATATTGTTTTATTGTTGTGCAAGTACAGTTTTCTGCCTTTTCCCCCTACCCCAGCTCAATGCCCTAGCCCTCCCCACCTCCCTCCCATCTCCACCCCCCTTGTTATTGTCCATGTGTCCTTTATAGTTGTTCCTACAAAAAATTAGTCTACATATTTTAAACTCTAAATTATTACATAAACTTTAAAGAAACCAATTATATCCAACCTTGAATCAACTTACTTAATTTAACAAGTGCATTTCTCTTTTCTCCATGCTCAATATAACCAAAATTAACTTCCCAACTCTTTAAGTTGTCTTTTTCATCACAATATTTATTTCCACAGAAAAACTGGCCTGCAAAAAAGGAAGGAATTATTAGCTATAATAGGTGGTGATAATATTTATCTCTATAATCTGGTATCTCTGAAATTTATTCTTAACATATATAAATTTTTAGTTCTATAAAGTCAGCATTAATAAACAACTGATCACAATAATTATAAATGCTCAACAAATCCGTATACAAGTATCAAATTAAAGAGCTGAATGAACTGTTGAAAAAAAAATCAGTCACGGAATTTTTGCTCAATAGGTAAGTCGACTGTTTGTATTTACATACAGAGTTTTAGTGACTCCCTGTTAGGGAATCTTACACTTTGGAAACTGGTAACACTAAGAGTGTATTCACTAATCCCCTAAAAGAATAAATGTATTTTCCAAAGTACATGCACATACACCTAGGTGAATCCTTTTCAATATTTCATAGTAATATCAAAATTGATATTTTTAAGTATAAGATAATGGTATTTAAGTATCAGCATAAAATGGCATTTAAAGCACATTTTTAAATGCTAGCACTTTGAGATAAGTAGAATAAGTAATCAAACCCGATGCTCTAAATTTTAAAATCACTTGACACTAAAATCAATACCACATTATCATGTCAACTGTACATTAAATGCTTTTGCAAAAAAGGAATTAATACTGATGATCCGAGAGGGGAAAAAAAGCAGCACAATTATTAACTTTGACAGGAAAAAAAAATCAAACTTTTATTTGTACAAATAAAAAATTTGTATCTCAATAATCTGCACTACCAGGAACCTGAAATTCTCACACAAAAATTATCAAAATCAATTTTGAAAATTATCTGTCCAAAAGGCTGATAACTTTTCTAAAAGGGCACTTTTTACTTATTCCAAATGAATATTTTATTAATAATCTGTACGTGTTTAGTAATGGCTCTATTGCTAAAACAGCAAAACTGTAACTTTATAAATCACAGCAATAGCATTTTCTACCTTTCCCCACTAATCCTTTCTTCAGTTACATGAATTTAGAGAATGTCCATCAATTGTTTTAAAAGGCAGCATTGTTCACCATCATCTGAAAATTCCATTCAATAAAAGTACAAAATTTTAAAATTGGGATAGACATTTCAATATATCTCACTGGTTTAGGCAAAAACAAACAAAAATGTAATTTTAAGAAAAGTTTAAAAAGTTTATTTAAATTTATTATTTTTCTTGTCCTCTAAAGTAGTTCCATGGCTGATAGATATTACTTATATAAAGAAAAAAATTTTTACTGTTTAATTGCATAAACAATTTCACACCTGATATAGATATCCAAGTTGTGGAAGATGTATATACGAACCACAGTGATGTTATAAATGTTTAATCATTTTTAAAATGTAACCTTTATTTTCAGTTAAAAATTTTTTAAGTTATTATTTTAAAATCATTTCCTGTTCTGGCTGGTGTGGCTCCGTGACTGAGTGCTGGCCTGCGAACCAAAAGGTCACCAGTTCAATTCCCAGTCAGGGCACATGCCTGGGTTGCGGGCCAGGTCCCCTGTTGGGGGTGTGCAAGAGGCAACTATATATCTCTCACACATTAATGTTTCTCTCTCTCTTTCTCCCTCCCTTTCACTCTCTCTAAAAAAATAAATAAAATCATTAAAAAATTATTTCCTAAATGTTCCTCTGTAGTTTTCATAACATTAACATTACTTGTTATTACAATTAAAAATGCAATTATCAATAGAGAATTTTTTTTAAGATTTTTATTTATTTATTTAATTTATTTTATTTAAGATTTTCTTTATTTATTTTTAGAGAGGGAAGGGAGGGAGATAGAGAGAGAGAGAAACATCAATGTGCGGTTGCTGGGGGTTACGGCCAGCAATCCAGGCATGTACCCTAGCTGGGAATCAAACCTGCGACACTTTGGTTTGCAGACCGCACTCAATCCACTGAGCTATGCTAGCCAGGGCTATTTATTTATTTTTAGAGAGGGAAGGGAGGGAGAAATAGAGAGAGAGAGAAACATCAATGTGTGGTTGCTGGGGGCCATGGTCTGCAAACCAGGCATGTGCCCTGACTGGGAATCGAACCTGCGACACTTTGGTTCGCAGCCTGCGCTCAATCCACTCAGCTACACCAGCCAGGGCTCAATAGAGAATTTTATAGCACAATACAGTATAGAGATATTAAGTATTCAGAAAAAATTTATGAATAGATTACAACAATGCATAGAAAAAGCATTTACTGATTGCCCAACAAGTGTCTAGCTTCTGCTGTAAGATTAAATATTTGGGCTCAATCTCAGTGACTCCCCGAAAATTCTTTTAGGTTCAAAGTGATATTTCTACTTTCAAAATGTGGATTTGACTGGAGGACAGTAATACTTTATCGTTATTCAAAAAAACCGATAAAGAGAAAAACTCAAACATTCATCCACTGATAGTTAAGATGCTATAAAATCTTTTAAACATTTTCTACTTATCCTCAACTGAATGTTCTAAAAGCAAAAATTCTAATAAAAGTAAAAATCTAAAGCATTATATTATTTTGACCTTTGCCAGTAATATATCCTAAATACACCTTTTCTAATTTTACTTTTGTAGATAATCACTCACTATATACCTTAGGACTACTCTTACCCAATGACTTCAATTCAATAATGTAACAAAATAACCTTTTCCTATTCAAAAGTAAAATTAAAAAAAAATTACCTTTTCCTGAAATTACTTCTTTTTCTATTCTCCACCTAAATCCAAACTGACAAGAAAAAAATTACATTTATGCCAGAGTAAATTTAAACATTATTTAAATTGTATATAAATCTAAACATGGAGCCCACAATTGACATAATTACATTTTTCAACCTAAAAATAAACCTAATTCCCATTATGATAGCTTTTTCTCTGCTTATAGGATTCCAGGTACTTAACAATACATTTGAACAATTACCAACTTATCTGTTAGGAAACAATTTTCTTTACTTTTAAAAGTTAAGGTGCCAAGCCACAAGACATCTCAATTAATTAAAAAAAAAGTATAACCTGTTTTATAACACTGACAAAAAACAGAAAAAGAGGTCATGGTCCAGTAACGAGGCAGTATTCTCAGTGCAAGAGTGCAGCCTTTGGAGTCAGACTCTTTGGGTTTACTTCTTAGGTCTACCACTGAACAGCTCTGTAATACCAGAGATGTTATTTAATCTATTTGTTCCTATTTCCTCACGTGTAAAGTAGAGTAATACGAGTACCTACCTCTTTTGGTTAAGAAGTTTAAATGGTATAGTACATATCATGTATTTAGAATAGTACCTGGTGCATAGTATACCACTAGTTAGCAAGCTACCGCCCACAGGCCGGCTGCCTGTTTTTATAAAGTTTTACAGAAACACAACCACACCCACTCACGCAGGGGTGGCTCTTTTCCCACGACAACAGCATAGTCACGAGCAGGAAAGCATAATGGTACCGTCTGGAGCCCTACAGCAGACGGTTGTAAAACTTCCCTTCAGATTCCAAAAAACAACTTTCCTTTTTTTTTTTTGGCTCAAAATGATTTTCTCCACTGCCTTTTAAGATCTTTTCATATGCTAATTTACCATAATTCCAGTTAGTAGTATAGTTTTCTATTCAGTTTATTTTTATAATGGTTAAAAGCTCAGCTCTCACGAATGGTGATGGAAGGATACTTGACTTGGGGTGGTAAACACAAAATACAATATACAGATGTATTCTACAACTGTACCCCTAAAACCTATAAAATTTTATTAACCAATGTTGCCCCAATAAATTCAATTAAAAAAATAGCTAAGCTCCACAATTATACAGACCCAAAGCAAGCTCTACCATTCCATAACTGGTTCTATGGCCTTGGGAAAGGTACTTAACATCTCAATCCATTTCCTTATTATAAGAATCCTAGTCTCACAGGTTGCTGTATTAAGAGAGATAATTCAGATGAAGTATTCAGTGACTGGCTAACTTTGTCATTTTTATTTTTTTAAACCACTTATTACTTGAATTACACAATCTTGTACTTTAAATGCAAATGAGGGCACAAAATATTTCAAAATATTCTGATTAAAACACAAAGAAAATAGCCCTGTCTGGGTAACTGATTTGATTAGAGCATCATCCCAAAACACCAAGACTGTGGGTTCGATCTCTAGTCAGAGCACATATAAAATTAGCGTTGGCCAGATGGCTCAATTGGTTGGAGCACTGTCCCCGAACACCAAAAGGTTGCAGGTTCAATCTCTGGCCAGGGCACATGCCTAAGTTACAGGTTCAATCCTGGGTCAGGGTGCATGCAGAAGGCAACCATCAATGTTTCTCAGTCACATCGATATTTTTCTCTTTCTTTCTCTCTCCCTTCCTCTCACTCTAAACTCAATGAAAAACATACCTTCTGGTAAAGAAAAAAAAGAATCAACCAATGAATGCATAGTAAGTGGAACAACAAATCAGTGTTTCTCTAATTAAAAAAAAGAATATCTTCCCAGTCTAGAGAAAAAGAAACAAAAAATTCAAAATAACTGTTTAATTTTATTTTTAAAACTATACATGTATGTAAGTATTGCTTTCCATCCAACCTATGCTGGGATGTCCATTAAAACACAAATGTGTAACATAATAGTTTCCAAACGTTTCTTTCATTCATAAATCTGTTCAACAAGTAACTATTAAGCAGCTCCTTACTGGGCTAGGCATTCTGCTGAGGATAAAGGGTGATTATTAAAATAGTGTCTGTCACCATGAACATTTTAACCTTATAGGGAGATAAGAAATGTCACAAGCAACTGCAGTATGTCCTAATGGTAAAGATTATAGAGATTTTGCCTCAGTATGTTTTTATATTCTTTACTGAAGATATAAATTTTCCTGCTGATAGGCTGGATTTACTCAGGGCTTGGTGCTGAGCCTCTTCTTACTCTACCTTCTAGCACAAAGAGCTCACATATGGAAGCAATGAGAGAGAAGGATTCTAAATTCCTGACAACACAGGGTTCCATGCCATCTACTTGGACTTTTACATAAAAGAAAAATAAACTTCTAGCTCATTTAAGCCGATGTTCTTTGGGAGTGCTGCTTGGTTCTTTGGGAGTGCTGTTCCCTGCAGCTGAATCTAATCTTAACAGCTGAATCTAATCTTAACTGGAGCCAAACAAATTCTCAATGACGAAAGAAAACAAGGAAATGGAGGTGTGGGGCAAAGGTTGGAATTCACTAAAAATGCCTAAGTATCTGCTATATATAGTAGGCACTGAGCTGGGAGCTGGTTAATTAAAAAGAATAAAATACTGCCTTTGGGTAAATAGAACTGTGAGAAAACGCATTCTTGCAAGGAAATCAAAGGTACTACTGTCTCCAACACCTCAAACACTGTACACCAAAAACCAGTCATCCACCTTTCCCCTCGTGTGGGGTAAGGAGTAGATGGGAAATCTCTGTATCTTCTCCTCAATTTTGCTGTGAACTTAAAACTGGTCTAAAAAAGATAAAGTCTTAATTTTTTAAGACAGATCCCCCTCCCTCCATATTTTATATTTCTCTAATATTCACACTCAAAACCTGAGAGTCGTATCGACTTACTTGCACTAACCCTCACATCTGACTATTCATCATGTTCTAATAGGAAAATATAACTTGTTTGAAGATTATCCTCTTTAAAGTATGATTTCCAATAACATCCTGTGTACTTTCAAATGGAAAATACAAATATTTAATTATTTACTATGTATACATTCTCCCCTTAACTGTTTTTTTTTAAGAGCAGACACCATGTATTAATCCATGCCACTCAGCCTAGTCCTCAATAAATACTGAAAAGCAATCAATACATGAGGCACAGTTGAAAAGCCTGCTTTGTCATGTGCTCTTAGAAAGACCTATTTTTCACATTCAACTTGCAGTGTAGTAACTTCAATTAACTCCAACTGCTGTGGTGCTTTTTGGATTCAATATGGTGATAACTAGTACAGATATGAGAGCCAGTTCACAAGAAACTGAGGAAGTCTTTGGGATACACCAAGTGCATGGGTTTGTAAACAGGGTTATAAAAACGGACACTAATACTATCTAATGGAATACTGTAAAGCAACCCACATGTTAAAGGCACTAATGAAAAATTAAACCAACGATGGTTCTGAGATTTAACAATTTAAATAAAAACAAAATCCTTATGATAAACAGGTTGTCTTTCTTAATATAAATGCACATTACCCAAACACAGATTTATGCAACATTCCCTCCTCTCTCATTTCAAACTGAGACCATATGTTCTTGGGTCACCTTCCCTAGCTGAAAATGTAAAATTTGAGATAGGAATAAAAATCCCTTTAATATTAACTAAAGTAAGATGTAAAGTGAGAATGAAAATCAGCTGTTATAATTAGTACTGATTAGAGTTAATTTTACTAGAATAGACATTTACATAACAAAAGATGTGCATCTGCCTCTTTATAAATGGTAATCAATTTGGAAAATACAGCCTATCAATTTCATCTGTGAAACAAGACATCATTCTGCCCTGTCAAATCATTCATTATAATCACTAGAGGCTCTAGATTAGACTGAGGAACAGGATCCAGTAGCCACTTGTGTTTAATTTTAGGCTTTTTTGCCTCAGCTCACAAAGAAGCACCCTTGACTGAGGGGCCCTTTATAAATTCCACAGCTGCAGAGGTTAAAATGGCCCAAATGATACTTCATAGAAACAAGGCAATTTAGATTAGAATAGCATCCTTAAAAGAATAATGTGGGGCATGCTGATGTAATAAAAAGAAACAATACACTTGTATAAGAACCTTCTCTATTAAACATTTGGAAGGCATACCTTATTTTCTTTGTATCTACTGAGATCTGCTATGCAGTATTCCTTGAATAATTTATCGTAGTATTTCTTTGCAAGTCTCTTCTCCCTAGATTTATAAAAAATACAAATCTTCATTTAGAAATCCAATTATAGTTTGCTACTTGGAAGCAACATCAAATAAATAACACATAATATAACAATTACTGTTTTAAAAGAGGTCTATTACTTATATGTGCAAAGAATACCTGAATATTAACTATTAAAGTTGTTCTCTCAGGGAGAAGATCTGGAATACTTACAGTCAGACATGGGAAAGGGTCTTACTCTTCACTTTTTACCCTTTGTAATGTTTGGATTTTTAGAACCATTTTCAGGTATTGCTTTTTCCCAAAATATTTTAAAAATTTAAAAAGAAGCACACATTACAGGACAACAAACAATATTTTTAAAGTGTGTTTTAAAGATAAACTCAAGCAGTAAGAAGTCAGTTAAAACTGCTAAAAATTACCAAAAGAACCAAACTAGATTCAGTAATCTGAGGAATGGTTTTATGTCCTCAATTCAGAACAAATCTATGCAGGGTAGGACAGACAGGATGAAAGCATTTGATGCATTATGCATCGATGGCTAAAATTACCAGTTCATGTCCATTTCATCTTCCTCATTCCATAGGAATCTATGATTTTCTCGTATAACATCCATGTCTGTTTTGTCATTTTCCCTGGAAAATAAAATGATTTTAATTTAATGTAAACACAGAATTAGTCAATTTAGGAGGTCAAACAGTTGTGATATTTTTAAACACCTGAGTAAAAGATAACACAAAAAGATAAAGACAGTTTTATTTGTATGTATATATGTACATACGTTTGTAAAAACTATTTCAGTACTTTTTCAAAAAACACTGTGAAGAGTGCTATACAGAAGAAACTTAAATGGATAAGAAATCCATCCATTTCTGGCACTGGTTTCAGTTATAAACATGATGCTAAAAAAACAAAATGAGGATAAGAAATCTGAGTAAACATTAAATGGAAGAAAAAATGTATGACAGTAAGTTTCAGAATCTAAAAAAAGTAACACTACCCTATTGAGATTTAATTTAAAAAACATATATAGAGTTTTCCATACCTCATTTTTCTACAGCTTCCAAGGAAGACTGAGTAAGGAAGAGAGCTGAAGGGTACGATTTTCCTAAATACTACAATAGACTGGGGATAGAACAAGGGATTGTTGGGAAGTATAGGACAAACTGAGAGGGAGATTAGTCTGGGATAGATGACACGGTATGAAGTTTTTTAGGGCTCTCCCAATTCAGAAAATTGTTAAGTTGGGGAAAAAACACACAAAACCAAAAGGCTCTGACAAGAAAAGCCTCAAACATAGGGAGCAATTTCATGTGTGAGAAATATTAGAAACAGGTTTCTTGTTTGCCCTATCTTTATCTTTTTATCCTCACCCAATGACATGCTTACTGATTTTAGAGAGAGGGAAAGGGAGAAAGAGAGAGGAGGAGAGAAACATTGATGTGGGAGAGAAACACTGGTCAGTTGCCTTTCTCAAGCACCCTGACTGAGGGCCGAACCTGCAGCCCAGGCATGTGCTCTGACCAGGAATTGAATGTGGGACCTTTCGGTTTATGGGATGATGCTGCAACCAACTGAGCCACACCAGCCACGGCTGCCCTACCTTTTAAAAGGCAATCCCAAACACTGAGGTTTAAAAAGTTCAAAGATCCTCTCAAAACTAAACAAAGCACTCAAAGCTGTATAATCCGGGACATGTGTATTCCTCACATAATTGTTATTGACAGGGCTACTACTGACAGAGGAATGGGGTCGATTAGAAGCTACTTAGCTGGAAGCTATGGATGGTCTCTCCACATTATGATATAACAAGGAAGTCAGAACGGAGAGCAGAGGAAGATCTCAGAATCAGATGACATAGCAGCAGTGGGTCTTTGAAAGTAGTTCTGTATAAACTTCATGACACTTACCCTGATCGCCTGAAATCTTCTTTCTTGCCACCATAGTATAAAATATAGTCATTTACAAACTTTGTATGCCTTTGATACTGAAATGCAAAAAATTAAGGATTTTACTTGTTCAACAGTTGAGCGACGTCCAAGATATATTAGTGAGTAGGAATAAAAAGCATAGTATGAATCTACTTAGTTTTTAAATATGCAAATATACACTATACATGCTTATAAATTCAAAGGTAGAAAAAGGTTAATATTAAACTATTAAGAATGAACATTATAGAGTACAGGGATTTTTACTTTATAAACAATATAAATGTTTATATTTTAATGTTTTAACATTTAATGTTTAAATGTTTTAAACATTTTCCAAGCATATGCTACTCATGATAAAATATATCTCTATCTAGGAAGAAAGTTTCCTCTTCTATTGCTGAACTACATATGGCCTCAGACCACCACTCATTTTAATCATCACAATAGGAAAAATTGTCATTTCTAAAGTTAAAGGTATGGAGTAGAGTTTACCTTTCATTATTATAAAATATAATTTGGCTATGCCAGTAATAAAGCCTCTAAAAATATAAGATAAAACTTTTATAATATTAAATCCTAACAATAGGCTTTCAAAAAAAGTAAATATAAGAAATCAGATGTTATTTTTGTAAATTTTCTTTTAATATTCAAAGCTCCACAATTATGTTTATTTTCAGTTAAGTATAACAAGATATTTGAGGTTAAAAGTTTTTCTTTTGAAAAGCTTAACGGTACTCCCTCTACAAGTGAACATGCACACACTAGAACTGACCTTCTCTGTAATATTGTCTGTGACTGTGACTACATCCTATTATATTAAAGATAGTGACTAAATTGATCACAATATATTCTAACAGAGTCTCAAATCAGAATACACTTCTCAAAGTGGAAACAAAAACAGTTAACATTTCAGAAAAAAGAGAAGAGCCAAATATGTGGACATATGGGTTCTACCTCTTTGCCTATCACTAACTGGTCATGTGACCATAGCAAGTCACTTAAATCTTTTAGAGCTGGGGTCAGCAAACTTTTTCTGTAAATAGTAAACATGCAGGCCATATGGTCTCTGTTACAACTGCTCAGCTCTGCCATTTTAGTATGAAAGTAGATACAGATAACACCTAAATGAATGAGCATAGCTGTGGCTCCAAAAACACTTGCTTCTAAAACAGGTGTTGGGTGGGACTTTGCTTCCAGGAAAACGGAGTAGACAAAGATGTACTGCTCCCTATTCCTCCCACTAACAACAGCTAAATCCCTTGGAAATTATACAAATTTATTTTAAAAAACATAAGAAGACTCTGAAAGGTAGAGAGAAGGCATATCAGCTACGGACCTCAGGACCCATGTTATAACATGGTGGTGAATTACCCTTTTTGTCTTTTTTTTTAGAGGGAGGAGAAATGAGAGTGAGAAAGAGAGGGAGAGAACCATCAATGTGTGGTTCTGGGGAACTGGCCCACAACCCAGGCGTGTGCCCTGACTGGGAATCAAACCAGTGACCCTTTGGCTTGCAGACCGGCACTCAATCCACTGAGCCACACCAGCCAGAGCCCCTTTTTGCCTTTTTCTTTCTTTTTTTCTTTAGCAATTGTTATAATAATTTACTAGGGGATTTTAAGTATATTTAAAATGAAAATGTATGAACAATATCATATAAATTATATTTGTATTAAAGGAGACTTTAAAGCAAAAACCATTACTAGAAAGATATAGGTATACTTCAAAATGACAAAAGTTCTTTAGTAAAAGATAATAATTCTACTTTTTTTGAAAATTTTTTTTTTGTATTTTTGTTTAAGTACAGTTGCCTTTTTGCCTTTTAAATCCCAGGTTTCGAAGTGAAGAAAGCTGGCAACCTGGAAATACCACAAAGCACAGGCAAAAAAAAAAAAGAAGTCCCAAAAGCCTTCCCTAACTGAATATCCAAGTGAGAGGCAGTCTAACAAGATAGATAACTTTCAGACAATAACCACTCTATTCCAGCCAAATACTCCAGAAAAAAACTGTGTCACCCCTCTGCTCATGCCAGAGAAGCAGACCTAGACTCTCACCCTGACCAGGCTTTTAGATGCACCAACACCCTCGAATGATCAGAGAAGGCAGAGTAGATGTCGAAATGCTGAAGGAACAAGGGGCAGATATAAGCAACTTGGTTAAGAGATAAGAGGAATAAATAAATTGTTGACAAGAAAACATCTATAATTTAAAGTATTAGAAACAGTAACAGGGTGAAACAGATTACTATAGGTGGGAGGCAGTATATCTAATTGACATTGTCTCCTTCTCCCAATCTGACTGTTAAAATACACACCTAGGAATACTGCAGTCTTGCTTGGCCTCTCTTTCATTCTCCAACATTCAGTAACATGAAGGCCAGGGGTAGTAGTCTCTGTAATGAGCCACAGTCGTACTGAAAAGTTAAACTGAGACATGCCTACAGCAGGGAAGCAGGGTACGGTATACAGCTTAAAGAGAACCCAACTCATGCCTGAGAGTTGAAGCCAGAGCAGAGAGAACAGTCCACAGTCAGACCTACGTTTAATACAAGTCTTACAAAGACTTTAACTAGCAAAGAACTAGGCAGGAAGAGAATAAGAGTTAAAATGAGACAGAAGATAAGAGTAGTATAAAAATGAGAAATGTTGAGAGCTTGGTAAAAACAGGGTGTAAAAAATACTGGCAAGTTCATGGACTTTGTAAACCTATTTATAGAACATTTGGAATGTTTTACTATTTTTTGTCTCTAAATTTTTTCATGTACTAGTAAAAGAGAACTGTACGCAAAAGTGTAAGTGGCAAAATTCCACATCAATAAAGACTTACCTTTAAAAACAAAATATCAATCTATCTGACTTTACAAAATTTCATGAAATAAAAAAGTAAAATTTTAAAGACTATTAGTTTTTAAAAACCTAGAAGTACAAAAAGGATACAGCATCCATAGCTATGAGATGAAACCTTCTATTTCTTGCTTCTTCCCTGTTAAGACAAATTTTATTTTAAGCAAATTCAAATATCTACATTCTAATTAATGTAATCAAATCCCTAAGTCTCTGAGTTTAAAAAAACACCTTAAACCAAAAAAAGTAAAGCACATTGAAATACTATACCTATCCAGCAATTCTGCTGCAACCTGTTTATGCACCACCTTTCCATGTTTTTCTTTCTGAAATGGCTTTTGGAGCAGTAAATCATCTTCACCTGTCCTGGTTTATTAAGAAGAAAAACTATTAAAAGAGTTTATTTTTCTCAAAGAATTTCCCATTTCTTTATATTTTCACAACTGAAATATGTTTTAAACACTTAAGTTTTAAAGAGGAATCACTCACTGATCTTTAGTGAGACATTTTATGTCTCCTTAAATTGCTTAATTAATATCTTAATTTTATTTTCAAACCTACAAAATGGAGAAAATGAAACTGACAAATGTACAAGTCCTGGTTTCTGACCGCATAGGTTCCTGGGTTCTAATTTTGGCTGTCATTAACGATCTTTTTTTTTTTCACTATCTTAATCTTAAATAAAATTAAGTTATTTAAGTTCTTTGAGACACAACCTCCCAGTCTGTATAGATAACGAAGCTTTTGGTCACTGATAATATGGAACAAGAAAGGCCAGTTCTAGATAACACAGACTACAGATGATTAGCCCTAGTTATGTAGATATACATAACCTTAGAGCAGAGAAGACTATCCAACTAGATTTGCTCGAATTCTATTCTTACAAAGTAATATTTTTAATAAAAAAATCTTGAATATGTAAAGTACCATAAAACATAATTTGTTATAGTTATTTCTATTCTATTGGTTATCCATAAAGACTGAATACCAAACAAAAAGTTCAGTTTCAATTAGTATGCCTAATATATTGCTCTCAGTGTAAAATAATAAACCAAGTCTTATAAATTTGATTAATCAACCAATCAACCACTCCTAACTTAATGGATAAAAGCAAGACTCTAAGCACTAAAAGCTGAAAACCTCCTCCTTAAAGACAGCAACTCCACCAAAATGTAGTGGCCTCATTATAAGGCCCAGAGTATACCTGTTGACAGATCTTGTTCCTTCCAATAAGAACTTCATGAGCTCCTTCCCTTGATCACTTAGCCTGCTCATTCACAAAACCATAAGAATTGTGTCATATCACAATCCCATACTCCACACTAACCTCATTTTGAAGTCAAATCCTAGCAAAGGGACCACCAACCTATCTGTCCTAGCTAAAGCCCTATCTTAGCTATGACATCTGCAAGTAAAAAGTCCTTCTCCCCTTTCAGCTTCTGTAAATCCCCCCATAGCATAAACATTTCTTATTTTTCACATAATGGTTCTCAAATTTTTGAGTCAATTCATTATAGTTCAACAAAGTGAAATCCCTTCACATCGTTGTCTTCACAAACACAATCCAAAAACTTTCAATATTATTTATAACTCATCTCAATCTAGAAAGGATTCGAAGCACAGATAATAAAAAATTACCTTTTTTTCCTTTTGCTAGATTCTCCACAGTGTTCATCATCACTAAAATCAGAGTCATAGCCTCCATGACCATGCATCTGTAAAGTATAGCGTCAGTTACTTAGCACCTAAGTTGCCCATTGTTCAGGAAGCAGAATAGTTCAAAAGTAAGTCATATTTAAAAGTCACAATAGTTTTAAAGGATAGTGGGGTATGTCACTGTCCCTGAACTACCCACACATCCACAACTTTCATTCACTTTGAATAAGACTTAGCCTTCAGAAAATGGATAAACACTTTTTACCATCAGGCCAACATAGGGCTAGTCTTTGACCTTCTTCCATTGAAAACTAGGTCTAGAAGTGGCCATGTGACTGCACAGAGTTCAGCAGGGCTTCACTTCAACTCCGAGTAGTAACACTTGCTCTGTATCTATCATCGACTTTGCTCTGGACATTATGTGAAGTCCTTTACAAACACTGCTTTTAATTCTGCAATTTAGAAGCTATTATCTCCATTTTAGAGATGAAGAAAATCAAGGGCAAATGAAGTTAGTCAATTATATAGAGCAAATAGGTGACTAAGCTGATTTACTTGAGTCTTAAGCCCATAATTTCAACTACTCCAAACTGTCTCTGAAATTCGCTAACATTTTGATTATTATATTCCATTAGACTTACTGCATTTGTGAACAGTATATTATTAACTGATGAAAATCTACCTCTTTTCTCAACATATGTGGAGATTTCCTTTTTCTTTTAAAGGTTTTTTTCTAGGTAAATCACCTTGTCCTTTGGCCTAGTCGACCTTATTTTTTCTTAATTGAAATTCTCAGAAATACTGAAAGATCTCAACTGTCACTAAGTTGGTGTTGGAAGCAGCTCCTGGTTTCAGCATTATGTTGAATTTGGGACCCACATTAATAGGGGATGGATAGGTTATTTGTCTATTTGATGTCATAAATACCCAATTCAGATGTCTGCAAGAAACCGTGCAGGTCAAATGATACATCCAACTTTTTAAACTTTAATATTCATTGCAACAAGTAGACCGTGAAAAAGAAGAAAGAACTCCCTAAACTTCATTGCCCTACACCTAAGACACAATATGTTTCACTTCTCTTCCCTGTCCCACAGAATCCTAGAGAAAGGCACCGGCCAAGGTTGGAAGTGAAGGTTATAAGGCTACAGCTCCACCTCCACCCTCGCTTACATCCGTCTTCACCTTATAGATACACCTGGATCTCACACCCTCCGTCACGTCAATTTCTTGCTCCACCTGTCTATCACATCTATCACATCTGTTCCAGCCATACCAGCCTCTTACTCCTTGTCTTACAACCTCACTTGCACATCTTGATGGGGGACAACCACTGGGTGCTGCATAGAGGTATGTTCTGGGATCAGTCCTCCAGAATGCAAATCCTGACCTGCACATTTCATTTGTCTTTCTTTGAGCAGGTTCTACAACCTGTGAGCCTCAGTCTCCCCCTCTACAAAAGGAGGCTAGTGAAGAGTACCAGTCTTATAGGACTGGAAATTAAATTACCACATATAAAGGATTTTAGAACATTGTCTGGCACAGTAAAACCCCGTAAATGTTAACTCTTAGTACCATCATCATCATGTTACCACACACCAAAACACCACCTCTACCCCGTTCCTCCTCTCCCTTTTTCCTCTGGCGGCTTCATCCATCCCATACCCATCTCCATTCAGTGGTTGCACTAACATGCTCTCACTCACTTCAGGTTACGAATAAACTGACAGGGGCCGAGAGAAATTAGAGAAAGGAGGCGCCGACTGTCTCCAGAATCTATCAAAATAAAATAATTTAAAAAAGAAAATCAACAAGTAGCATATGAGATACAAGTTCCAGGTCCTTATATCCGATGCCAGATACGCTCACGGCCCTTCTCAAACACCCCTTCCCCGCCTCCCTGCTTTGCCAAGCTCGCCCGCAGAGTAGTCTTTTTCTGCTTTCTTGGCGGCTGCAGCGACGACCCACGGCCTGAACGAGCCGCTGTAGGTCCGCCACAGTCCGCGGAGGCCGTGCAGGTCCGCCACAGCCGGCGCCGCTACCGCTCACTCCCCACCTCTCCCTACGGGTCGTGACAGGGCGCCGCTTCCGGTAGGGCTCGACCGCGAGTCACACTTAAATGGTACCGTCCCCGGGAGCCCCGAATTTGTGCCACAGGCAGAACACTCCCGGGAAACAAAGGCGGCGGAGGAACAAGGCCGGAAGGGGAGGCAGGGGCTGCGTGCTTTCTTCGAAGTCGCTGCCTTCACTCATTTTTCTTTGGGCTTTTTTCCCTTCCCTTCGCGGGAGCCCGGTATCTAATGTTGTGTGGCACTGCTCTAAGTCCATACCCCTACTTGAAAAAAAAAACCCTGCCTGAGTATCACCTGCCGCCCTCTTTCTAGTAACCTTAGTAACGCCTCCTTGGAGCATCTTCGCTGGTGGCCTCACCCTCTAATCTGCTTTTCTTTCTTCTAATCGCCCCCCCCCGCCCCGCCCCAAACCCAACCCCCGCGCCCAATAAAACCGTTCTCATAATTGGAGCAAAAATAACTTTCCTTCGTTTTACCACCCACACAATAGATACCATTCCAAATGCAGTGCTGGTGGCAGAGGAGCTCATCAAAAATGTAAGGAAAGGAAGTCTAGAAAATAGGGGCGATTTCACGGGGTTGTGGATTCTCTGCAGACAAGCGATCTGGCACGTGTTAAAAGAGAGCCAAAACAGTTCCAAACGAGAGAGAGAGGGGGGGGGGGAGGGAGGGAGGGAGGAGGAAAGAAAATGAATTATTTTACGTTCCACCTGATTATCACTGTGTTTTACTTTTTCTACATCACGATGCTTCGTTCTGCTTTGCAGCGTAGTGACTGGGTTAATGTCTTGTCTCCCTCGGGCTGATGCTTGCTATTCACCTTTGCTTCCTCCTCAGTACCCAACACGGTTCCTTGGAAACTACAGGCACTAATTAAATATTTGTTGAATTGAACTGGCACACCACTGACTTTAGAGAAAATCTTGGCACCTAATGCGAATTCATCATTTTACATCTTTTACACTGCACAGTAGATAACAATATCCTCATTGGTTCAAGTCCCTCTGCTGTCTGACAGTAAATTATAGCTATCTCCTGCTTAACCCAATGCAGTGACTATGGTCTTAAAAATCTGTGAGTTAAATTACTGTAAATTCAATGACTTCAAAATGCAATCTGATTATACATCAATGAAAAACATTTATTCGCAAACTTTAAAGCATTGGGAAACCTCACAATTTAACAATATACTATATTGAATTATTTTGTCAAGCAGTTCCCTTTTTAGTAAATATCTAAAATATATATTTAGTTCTTTTACTTATCATCAATAAAATCAAACACATCTGTACCTAGTATGTATTTAATTTACTTTCTAACAATATTTGATGTTTAATGGCACTTTTCTTACAGTCTTAGTGTATTTTTGTCTGTCGTTTCGTTGTACTCTTGCAACAAGCCTGTGCTGCTGTGTCATGAGCCCCATTTTGCTTTTGAGAAATAGAAGCATAGAACATAAAGCCACAGACCTGGTGAGGGTCTAGAACTAGAAGTACTTCTCTATCTACAAGACCCACTTTGCTCCCTCTCTCTGGGTAAATTTCATCTCTCTTTCTTTTTAACTCATAGATTGTGTGGGAAGTAGCTTCTGGTTCTAACATTTTAAGAGTTTCAGATCTGTTGCTACCAGACCATTCAGCTACAGATTTGCATTTTTCCCTTTGAGGCAGCAGTTATTGAAAGAGAGAAAATAGAAAATAATTGGCAGATATAGATCACATGATCTGATCTAAAAACAATTAATACAGGATAGAAAACCTACCTGATCAGGAAACCTTAAGTTAGCAAGTAAAGCTCAACAACTACAAAAAACACAAATATTGATATTTATTAAGTGCCTACTTTGGGCAGAGCAGTGTCCTTCATCATCAGGGTTACAAATATGTAAAAGCCACTCCTTAGTCTTGAAAGTTGACTAGTAAAGAAAAAAATATATAGAATAATAACAACAATTTGCCTATCATATGCCAAGTGCCTAGTAAATGGCATGGACCTGTGTTTCCCAATCTGTGAAATGTGTTATTTCAATTAGTATGAAAATTTAAAGCCCTGGCTGGCATAGCTCAGTGGATTGAGCGCGGGCTGCAAACCAAAGTGTCGCAGGTTCGATTCCCAGTCAGGGTACATGCCTGGGTTGTAGGCCATGACCCCCAGCAGCCGCACATTGATGTTTCTCTCTCTCTCTCTCTCCCCTCCCGTTCCCTCTCTAAAAATAAATAAATAAAATCTTGAAAAGAAAATTTAAATGTACACAAAGGCTGTCTATGTGGTGGAGGTGACAGAAGCTGGTCCCCATTCCTCTTCATCACTCTCCCCTCTTCACATTTTTATTGCTTTCCCCACGGAAAAAAGCTGCTCTAGGAAACAGTATGTAAAGAGACACACTTCAAAGTCAGGAAGACCTGCATTTAATCAGGTCTAATACTTATTATCTAGGAGATATTGGGGAAGTTATTTAATTCTCTGAGTCTTAATTTCCTTATCTATGAAATTGAGATAGTAGTAGTAGTATCTATCTAACCAGGGTGTTGAAGAGGTTTTAAATGAAATGATGCAGCTAAAATGCTTAGCATGATGCCTAGTTCATAGTAAATATATAACAAATGCTACTTGAGGAAAGAATCTGATTACAGGCATTCTTAAGAATAAGTTTAACAATTAATGCTTCTTGAATATGGTCCAGAAGTGGACCCATACATATATAATCCCATGAGTAATGGCACAGGTTTAAGTATAAACTTTTTAATATATAGTTCTGGGTCAATAGAATAATATGATAAAAATATAATCTTGATTCCTATCTCACACCATTCATAAAAGTTAATTTCAAAGAAAACAACTTTATGATATTTCATGATATTTTCCTGAGGGTGGGAAAGCTCTTTAGATAGGAAACACAAATAGCTAAACATAAAGGAAAAAATTAGATTAAGAACTTGTTCATTTAAAAGGCTTTCTTAAGAAAGTGAAAGTTAAGTCATAGGATGGGAGAAAATATTGTATTATGCACATTCAACACATTATCAGAATATAAAAAGAACTTTAAAAATTATTAAGTAAAAGGCAGAAACCCTATAAAAAATTACCAAAAGACTTAAACAGACAATTCAAGAAAAAAGGGATATAAAAATGGCCAATGTACATGTACACTAGTCATCAGAGAAAAGCAAATTAAGAACACAATACACATTATTACACACCCACCAGAATAGTTAAATGTAAGAAAGATCTAGTGCTGATGAAGATGTGGCATGACTATAACTCTTACATGCTGCTGGTGCAAGTGTGAATTGGTATGACCACCTTGGAAAAGATGTTTGCTAGTACCTACTGATGCTGAATGTATATATTCTATGTCTCATATATTCCAATCCTCAGTGTATTTTCAACAGAAAAGTGTGCATATGTTCATCAAAAGACATGTACTAGAAAGCAGTAGTTATAAATGACGGCAATATTTATAAGTCAAAAACGGGAAGCAATGCAAATGCCCATCAGTATTAGGATTGTTAAATGAATTGTAGTTTATTCAAACAATGGAATACTATACTATACAGAAATAAAAATGAATGAAATACAATTACATGGAACAACATGGATGAATATCAGTAATATAATACTGAGCTAAAGAAGCATTATATAGGCAAAATAATACATACAGCATGATCCCATTCACATAAGGGACAAAAGCAAAAGTTATCTGTTACAAGTCAGAGTTGTGGTTCTCCTGGTGGGTATAGGGGAGGAGACTGGAGGCAGTGGTGGCTGTGGGCAGGAGGGGAGGATGCTTTTAGGGACATGGTAATGTTCTATTTCTTGATCCTGGCATTCATTACATGAGTGATCCATTTATACCTATGATCTGTGCATTTTATGTATATGTTATATTTCAATAAAAAAGTTTACATTAAAAATTTAACTTTTCCTAGAGATTTTAAAAATTTTAACTCCAGCTGGTAAATGGACATGTTAGTGACTGGAGTAATTTCAGGTGTGACAGAATAGGTTGGGGAGTGCTTTGGTGGGATTTCTTGGGGCTTCGGAAATTATGCCATATAAACACTTACACAGTCAAAAACAAATTTCCTGTTGGCACTGAGACGGAGGCAGACCAGGGTCTTTGTAAGTGTTGAGAAAGCCTCTACTCAGCGCCCAAGAGACTAAAAGCACCCTGGCCTGTACTTCCTGTACATTTATGAGCCAGAATCTGGCAGAAGGCAGCTCCACCACCTCTATAGTAAAGCTCAGTCCATAAATAGGGACACCATCTAATAGCTATCTTTTGCAAGCTGGTCAAAGGTCAGTTACTTGCTTGTATAAGTGCCAGGAGGAGGCTGCAGAGCGTGAATACTGAGGTTGGATGAACACTGTGAAGCTGAGTGGAAAGACGGCAATATACCAATTAGCCAAATGAATTAATTGTCATTGTTAGGCCTGCTCCCAGGAGGCAAGAACAAAGACAGGATGTTTATAATACCCCTCTCTGAGTCAGTCCTGGATAAAGAGCTTTGTGATTAAGCGATAGGGTGACACTTACCGAGTCAGATGAGATGAGAAGCAG